GTGTCAAGTGGAAACATGCAGTGCTTTGAAAGAACAGCTCCGAAGTGGTCTAGACATTTTCCCATCCCAAAGTCATTACTGGTGATGAGAGAGTGTGCTTTTCTTAAGACCCTGAAACCAAACACCAATCAAGCCAGTGGATGTTGTCATTATCACTGCACCTCAAAAAAGCTTGCTAAGTGAAATCAAAGATCAAGATGATGCTCATTTGTTTGTTTGTTTTTTGACGTAAGGGGGAGAGTGGATTTGGAGTTCGTTCCAACAAATCAGACTGTTAATCAAGCTTTCTCTTTAGAGGTTCTGAAAAGATAGTATAACAGTTTGCAACAAAAAAGACCTGATTTGTGTTAGATTGGAGGCAGGTTTTGCCACAATGACAATGCACCTGCTCACGCAGCCATCTCAGTATGTGAGTCTTGGGCAAAAACCAGCATGCCTCTCTGGCCTCATGTACCTTACTCACCTGACCTCACTCATGCAACTTCTTTTTGTTTCTGAGAATGAAGAAGTACATAAAAGGACAGTGATTTGATGTTGTTGAAGAAAATAATGAGGAAGGACTGTGATCCACCTTGCATTTGTTCCTGTATGTGGAGTGAGGTAAGGAACTTGTTTCCTTCTTCTACAGACTGATATCTAGTTGTCCAGCACCATTTGTTACAAAGGGCATCTGCTTTGCATTTGATTTTTTTGGGTGTGGGGCGAGGGGCTTGGTCAAAGATCAATTGTCTATATGCTGCAGATTTTATTTCTGGATTTTCTATTCTTGCCCATTGGTTTGAGTATCTATTGTTGTACAAGAACCATGCTGTTTTGACAACTGTGGCTATATAATAAGTTTTGAAGTCAGGTAATGCAAGCCCACCCACATTGTTCTTTTCTTTCTTTTTTTAATTTTTAGGACTTCTTTGCAAATCCTGGTTTCTTACCTTTCCATATGAAGCTGATAGTCATTCTTTCCATTTCTTTGAAAAATGATGTTGGTCGCTAAAAAGCAGTGATGAACGCATGAAGCACATCACCACATGGAAAGCACTAGAGGAAATTATGCTAAGCGAAGTAAGCCAAGCACCAAAGGACAAGTACAACATGAGTCCCCTGAGGTAAGCTTGAAAAAAAATGCAAAAGGGGCATAAGGAAAAAGCTACAGTATACATACATTCGTGGGGTGTGTTCCAGATAGTATGGCAGGGGCCAGACCAAATCCATGGATACATATGGTAGCAAACTAAAAAGGAGGGCAGAAAAAAGGAAAAAAAATAAAGAAATGGGTAGCGGGGGAACAGGGCACTAACCCACCCAATGGGAGGGTATTGTTTACATCTCCACAGGGAAAGAGGAACCAGACTTCAACCCGGTGCTCCAAGATGTGAATACAACATACTGGCATGAAGCAGGCAGGGAACCAGTAGAAAGATCTGAGGGGCCGGCCCCAATCCCAATCTATATAGCCACCCCTTCCCCCAGAAGAATTTACTTCAGAGGACAGCACTGAAGCTACAGCTCAGGGAGAGGGACATGTCTGATCAGAGGACATGGGAG